CAACTTGAAAGCAATGACTTTAGACCATGTGCCTACTTCACTGGTAAGACTCTCATCTTCTATGCAGGAGCCCCAGCTTCAATCCTCTACAAATGTGCCTCACATGAACTAGTCACCTATCTCCAGTGGAGGCTTAGGTGTGGCAACAATGTTTCAACAGAGCCTCTAGACGTCTACTTCTGAAAATTACCAATGAAAAGCCTACGGATCACAGCAGCCTGATGCGGAACGGGGCAGGCGTTTCGTTCCAGTGCTCACGGGGTCATCATGAGTTGGGAGCAACAGGAGCTAACAACTACTGCCTTGTATCTGGCAGCCTGCTGGAAACACAAGAGACAAACCCTGGGTGGGAGGACCCAGACAATACACAAACACATCAAACGTGGACTGTGACTGGTGAGAAATGCTACGAAGAAAAAGAAAGTCAGAAAGAGAAATAAAGCTAGATCTGAGGAGTGAGGGGGCTGCAGTGTTTAACAAGGTGACCGAGGGAGCAAGCCGTGCAGATTTCAGGGGGACCAACATTCCACACAGTGCAATGTGCTAAAGAACAAGGCATCAGAAGGGTCATAGTGGGGAGAAGGTTCTAGACAAAGGCAACACCGTCTCTAACAAAGAGAGGGAGTAGGCTCACTGAATGCTGACTGGAGGGGAGATAGCAGGGTTGAGAGACAGGAAGCAGCAGGGCAAGACCTGGGGAGAGAAGAAGGTGGCTTGGACCTCAGTACTGACCTTTCTGACCTTGTCTTCTATCACTGCTACCCTAAGCGGCCTCAATGTGATGATTCCAAACAACTCTGGGTGCCCCCTCCCCTTGGTGCCCTAAACATTTCTGTGTGCTGAAATTCTATCCAAACCAGACCCACACTCCCACCACCAAAGGGTATTTAGGGCTCCCATAACTCGATGCTGCGCTTTCTCCCCATCTTTGGAGTCCTCTGTGCACTTTATCTGCTCATATTTCTTTGATCTGCTCATATTTCTTTGACCCTGTCTAGTGGGCTTCATCTCTGAGAAACACAACTGCTAAGCTGTATTAGCCCTGAGCACTTCAAGAGACCCAGCAGATATTCTGACACCCAGAAAATCCTTAACTAGATCAAGGGTGAGTGAAGGGTGGCCCCAAAAGGGTGTTGTTGTTGTTGTTAGCTGCGATGAAGACAGCCCCTGACTTATGGGAATTCCCATATAATTGGGGAAACACCGCCTTCTCCCTCTGCCATATCCCTGTGCCTGGGGCAGACTGGACTGTTGTGATTCACAAAGGTTTCACTGGTAGACTTGCAGGAGTAAATCATCAGATCTCTCTTTCTAGTCTTAGTCTCGAAGCTCCAGTGAAAGCAGTTCTGTAGCATAGCTACATAAAGCCTCCACTGACAGACAGGCAGTAGCTCACAGGAGGCACACCATCGACGGACTGAACCCAAGTGTCTGGTACGGAAGGTGAGAATGCTTCCACTGAGCCACTAATGTCGCGCCACAAGGATAGAAGACAAGCAGGTGCGTCAATGACTTTTTTTCTTAAAGTACACGTTTGTTAACTCTCACATTTCACCACTCATTCTTTCATTCAAAAGCACTTACTGCACAAACTATTATCTTCAAAATGCCTCTTAAATGAAAACCAGTTGGAAAAAATAGTTTCACTAACACAGCTGACTGAAATTCAGGGTCTGCCACTGGCCTCCCTGGTCTCACACTCGCTGCCCATCTTTCTCCTGTCTATTGCAGATACAAACTCTCCGATTTGGTCCATGTGGGCTAATGTGAAGAAAATGGAAGGACAGAGAGGGGAGAAGCCTAAGTGATGCCCATCTCGTTGGAGGATTCCTGGGCCTGTCCACTGCCACTTCCTCAGAAGCTCTATGGGTTCAGTCTCAAGCAGCCTCATTCCCGGGGCTCTGTTCACACCCCCCTCCCCAAATCCTGCAGCCCAGGAGAGTGGAAACTTCTTGCTGTTTTCAGTCTCTTGGGCTCGTCCCCACCCCTATTTAGCTTTTATTTTCTTGATTGTCTCTGTAATAAGTCCCTGATATTCTGTTTCCTCCGCTGGGCTACCTTGCAACTGAGCCTGTGTGTAGCACTGAAACTCCCTCTTTCATTCCTGTACAAATACCTACTATGTTTTGGATGCTAATGATCAGAGGTGAATCAAACCATTTCTGACTTGACGAATGTACTCAATACAGAATGACTGACAGTCAAAGGTATCACTACTCACTTACCATGCTTAGATTCCAAAGACTAGGTCACCAGGAGAAAATCAGTCTGTGAAAATAGAGTAACCCCAACAGTTCACAAACTGGAGATGACCACATCATTGCTGTTGCTATGTGCCATCGAGTCACTTGTGACTCATAGTGATCCTATGGACAACAGCTCTGTGTCTGGCTCTATCCTGAGCCAACCTTACTGTCTCTGACACACCTACCTTCATTACCCCAGCCACTAAGTAAATCCATCTCATCTTCCACTCTTGCGCTGTCCCACCACCCTTCCAAGCATGATGTACCTCTCTAAGTACTGGTCCCTCCTTGCAACCAAATTACATTCTCCTATAACTGCAAAACCACTGAGAATCAAGGCCCAGGCAAGATGACATGTAACTTTAACCAATCTAGCTAGCAGTACTCTCACCTCCTGCCTTGCACCAGGGCATTCACTACTGCCAGACTTAAGTCATTAATGTGCAAAACAGTTAGGTATAGTTGACTTTTTAACTACTGTCATAAATGTAAAATAGGGGACAATGAGATATTAATTGAGGAACAGATATAATGGTATATTTTCACACATAAGCACTCATGTAATAAGATACACACAGCACTCAAAGAAAACTAACAGTAAGTAAGGGGACTATGCAGTTTGCAAAACTAGGTAACACACTAGCTATTTAAGTGAAAACACAGTAATACATCTTTAGCAAGCAAATGGCTGAAAGACACCTTAGCAGTTTATTCTAAACTTACGTTGTCAAGTTCAAACTTGTCAAGTACAAGCAGGACACCCAGATACCAATGATTTTCAGATAAATAATGAACAATACTTACTTGTATGTCTTAAATAGGGATAAATATTGTTCACCTGAAATTAAAAACTTATTTAGGCATACCGTGTATTCTCATTTTCCAAATAGATATACTAAACACTTTGCAGACTAAACACAATTTTCATAATTCTGCCCAAATTAAAGTCACCGTTCTTCTCTTTTGAGGTTTTTTGGGAATGGCACAGGGAGGACAGGGTTCAGATCTATTCACAGTGTTGCTATCAGTGGACTCAATGGCACCTAACAATGACAACATATACAATCATTCTGTCATGTGTAGTTCAATGCCAATTTCTTCTTACTGTCAAAAACCTCACTCTGAATGAAAGACACTTAACTTTACACAAATACAGACGTTGGTCCTGTACAACATTTCTTACCTTTCAAAGATAGGATTTACTGTTCTTTTGGGTTTTCATTACTGATTTTTGTTTTTTAAAAATGCCTCCACCTTCCCCTTAATAGTATACATATGTGTGGAGGGAGAGTGGGCACTGATCAAAGAGAGCAAAGGTTACAAGGAGACAAAGTGTCTCTCTGCGGTCACAGGAAACTGGCTAAGGGAAACCAAAGGGCCAGCCAGCTCACAGTGCTGCAGTGAGCTCCACCCTGTGAGTCCAGCACACGTTCCACAGCAACACAGAGCTGTGGCCAAGCCTGGTCAGTCCAGTCCATACATCTACGTTCAAATGCAGAGCCTGTGTCCTGGGATCATAACACAAACCACAGTCTCTTTTACCTAAGCCTAGAACAAACAAGCCTGTCTGTGACTACTGCCCCCAGACGATCTCTGAATGTGGAAGTGAAGCTATTTCTGCAGGCCCCCTCTCTGCCAAGTAAAAGATTGGATTATAAACTACACAGGGGAGAAAAAACTCTAGGGATATAAAACAGAAAGAAACAGAAACCCTGCTGTGTCACTCTAACATAGAAATATTGTCCTGTGTTCCTCTCTCCCTCCTTATTCAAGTCCCTCTCATTCTTTGGAACTCCCTCTGCCAATCTGCCTGCCTTCCCAATTCCTCCCCCACTAAGTGCTGGATGTCGGGCACCTTCTGCCCCCATTCAGGTGTTTTTTTCCTTAGCTGGAACCTGACACCACCAGCCTCCTGTTAGGAGATCTAGAAACATTTGTGGACAAGCCATTGTCTGTAAAGCTGACATTTTCCAGTCGTGGATCCCAAGGCTTTCTGTAACATGCGAAACTCCCTCCTTGAAACTTTGGTCCTTGTTTGTAGAACTTCATCCTGTTCAGGTCCTGCGTCTGGAGGATCTCCTCCCCTCTGCATCAGAGCCTCTGGAGTTTCCCTTGCTCTTTTCATCTTCAGCCTCCCTACGTCTTGTCTTCTCCCACAGCCCTCTCCACATGCCAGAGACACTCAAGTCTGCATTTTCAACCACACGACACCAAGTTAAGACCAATGTACCCCATTATGTCCAGCATCTCAGCTAAGGGTTCATGTCATATGATCCCTTTCTTTCCCAGGTCTTCCCTCTTCTCACCAAACTAATTACTGTTCACGGTGACCCCATGTATTGAGCACCAAAGGATTTTCAATAGCTATGACCTCTCGTAAGCAGATCACTAAAACTTTGTTTCGAATCACCATCATTTCACATTTGAATCATGAGCTTTTAGGTCAAGGATTTAACTATTTGCATAACTCATCTCTCTCTCTCTCACACACACCCCACTTACACACCCTTAACCTGACATCATGTCTCAAGGATCTGGCCTCCTGGTGGTCTTTCAAATCTATGTTCTGCTTTCCAGCACTGTGTTATTTCTCACGCAGCCTCTTCAGTGACTCGCAGCCTCTGACCCACACTATATCCCAACACCATGGTCTTCTAAAACAGAATCTGATCTGTGCGTCTTCTGTTCATGCAGTGAGTGTTGTAAGATAAAAGGACAGGACCCCGATACACTGCCAACATGCCAACTACTTACCAGTGATGACAGAAGCCTCAAATCCCATGTCTTCTACAGCAGCTCTGAGTTCTTCTGCACTAACTAGAGTGGAGTTAAAAAGAATGGTCCCAGTACTTTCCGTTAGAGAGACTGTTATCTGCTGCACCCCTTCCTTCTGAGAGATGGTGCCCTCAATGGACTGGACACAGGAAGTGCAGGTCATACCAGCAATGGTGAGCACCACAGTACTGAGCACCCCAGCGTCCAGGTTTCGCTGGGCAGAGCCAGAGGCATGGCACTCGGAAGGGCTAGCGTCTGGCAGGCACTCTGTGCCACTTCCTCCTGCACCATCAGGAAGTGAAACTTTAAAGTTCCCTGGTGGAAGGGCCTCAATGGCCTTCTGCAGGGCCGCTGGGGTGATGAGAGATGGCTCAAACTGTACACGAGCAGTTCGGTTTTCTAAGGACACTTGAATACTTTGAACGCCCGGGAGTTGGCCTATGTTTTCTTCAATATTGAGGACACAAGATTTACAGTGCATTCCATCCACTGTCAGTTGCAGGGTGGCCCCATGGCTCCCTTGGCCGCCTGGGTTCTCAGAATGATGGAGACTCAGGTGAGAAGGAGTTGAAGGTCTCTTTGGGTTAGAGCTTTGTAATCGTCCAATATCGATTGGCCCTAGGCTCAATGGAGCCGTTTTGGTCTTGATGGCAGCTTCAAATCCCATGTCACTGACATGGTCCCTGAGGTCTTCGGGTTGAATAAGGTAAGGCTGATAGGTGATGACCGCTTCCTGATTGCTCAGTGAGACTTTGACTCGCACGACACCCTGTAGTTTCCCAATCTTGCCCTCTATGGAGTTGACGCAGGACTGACAGGTCATGCCTTCCACCCGAAGTTTGACCACTGTCTCCCCGGTAGATAAGGAGCGGGAGGGCCAGGAGGCGGCCTTTCCTTCGGAGACACTGGCCTGGAAGCCCATGCCCTCGATGTGGCTGCAGAGCTGCTGTAGGCTCATGACCGACGGCATGTACCTCACAGATGCGCTGCTCTGTTCCAGGGAAACCTTAATGCTCACAACACCGTTCAAACCGGAAATCCTGTCTTCGATCGACTTGACACATGACTGGCAAGTCATGCCCAGAATGCTGATTGTGCCGGTGGCCATCTGAGAAGGAGGGGACATACCATCCACACTACTGTCATAGCCAATGTTATCAAAGGCAAAATGCTTCATCGCCGGATCCCGGACATGACCAGACAAACAAAGTCCAGATAGGATCTAAAAGGAAGAGAAAGCACAGTTTTAAGGCCTTAAAAAGGAAATTTTTTTCTAAGGTATCCCAGCTTGCATGGCTCTGGGAAAATGGAAAGCAATGCCACTGGTGTCAAAAACATTCTAGGAGCACAAGAAGAAAACCCACAAAGCATCATTTATACATATTTATAAAACGGAAAGTCTCAGCTGGGGGCTTCTTTGTGCTGGCATTCTGTGATTATGAACTTGGAAGACGACTGTCTGCCTTAATAAGTGTTTTATTAAGATGACATGGAGTTTTCTGCAGGAAAAGAGGAAAGCAAGATGCAGTTTATATGCACAGACTGGAGCAGGGAAAGGGATCTCTGGTGACAAGAGAACTGTGCTGCTAACCCAGCAGTGTGAATCCACAAACCGCCCGAAGGGGGAAAGGTGGACAATTTCCTCTCCTATTTATCAACACAGAAACCTGTTGGAAGGTTGGCTATGAGTCAGTTCCAATTCACGGGTAATGAGTCTGTGTATGGGAGAGAGAGATACTGTGTGTGTGTGTGTCTGTGTGTCTGTGTGTGTGTGTGCGCGCGCGCGCGCGCACTGCACGAAAGGCACAGGGAAGGTAGCTGGATAGAAGCCTCTAACATGAAGACACAAGTGTCCTCTTCTCCAATATCTGATGCTTGAAATCTCCCTGCTAAACTTGGGCCTTTCCAGTAACACTGTGGAGGACCTGCTGAAATGTACACACTCAGAACAGGTAGCACCTCAATTCTGATCTTTCTAGGGTTGTGTGTTTCATTTGCTATACTTTGGTTACATGCCTTTAACTGAAGGATGTGTGGTAAAAATGTGTGACTCTCAGATTTTGCAGAGCTGGAATCTGCAGGTAGAATAGAATGCCTGTGAAGAAGATCTGGAAGTATGTTCTCCGGCCCCGACACACACACCACACACACACACACACACACACACTCTCTCTCTCGCCCACACACACCCACACACACACCCTATACTCTAACAAGAAATACACATGAGTGACTGGGTTGTACAAAGCTGGAAGAACAGGAAGTGGAGGTTAATAACAGTGGACTTCAAACTTCTCTCTCAGGCTGTGTGTCGTATCTTTGTGATGGTCTAAGCTAGGTAGTTTGTCTTCAACAGAACACAGGCCGATATTCTGCTTTTATCTGTAGGTTTTCATTAATTTCTGGAAGGATATTGCCAGGCTACTACCCACTCATCTTAGTTCATCACACTGTGGGGACATGCGTGCTGTCATAGTGGATGCTGGGAGCTGTAAAATTAGCACTGCAAATCCCAGCAGGGTTATCGCTGGTGGACAGGTTTCTACAGGACCTCGACCAACACCCACACCATCTAAGACAGAACTGCCGGAGCCTGACCTTGAATTAGTGATGTTATCGTTATGTGCTGTTGAGTTGCCTACAATTCAGTAAAGACTTACATTGCCAACCCAACATCATGTGGTTCGAATCCACCAGCTGCTCTGCACGAGAAAGACGGCCAGTTTCCTTGTTGTTGTTGTCTGCCACGGGTGGGAACTACCGACAGCTGGCCCTCCAGAGGGTTTTTAGAGGCAGTGAATCACATGGGAGACTGCCCATCCTTCTCCTGCAGAATACCTACTGGATTTGAACTACATGCCTTTGGGATTGCAGGGCAGCTTCTTATCAGCAGGCCACCCAGAGCTCCCTCCCTTGTGATTTACTATCTGAAACCAACTGGCTATCAGTCCGGTACCTAACAACAGATCACAAAATTTCTCAATGCACAACACAAATGTCATTTCCTGTTTTCCTCACAAAGTGATCACTCTATCAACAAACAAATTTTTCTTTCACAGGCTCCTTAAATTACCACACTTTTCTCTCAATAACATCTTCACCCTAGTATTTGTATGGGATTCTAAAGCTTGGAACTGGAGTACATTGTTAAAAGGCCCAAGTTTCTCTCTAGTCACATAAAGTGGTACTTATCATCAGAAGAATCTCAATTACAACAGACTGATCTCCATATCCTTGTGCATAAGACACTGATTGATTGGCTGAGCCAGGCTTTTTGTTCAGTTCAGTAAGATGAAAGTTTAAACAATGTTTTAAACAGAATAAAAATGTCCAAAAAGGTGGTCACAAAAATAACTTAAGATTTTGGTTGCTTGATCTTTATGAAATATTTCCATAATTAATTTTATTATGAAATATTAAATGTTATATATCAATATAAAGCTTATTTTATGCTAATTCTTTCTGTGCAGTTGGTTTCAAATCTAAATTGCCTTTTTGTCCATTTTTAGGATATAGAACATAAGATGTCAAACAAGATTTTTGCCAAATCTACCTTTACAACTTCAGCTGCAGTGCACCACAAACAGCTCAAAATGTCAATGAGGTTTAGGGCATGGAACGTGTCAGTGAGCTATGCATAGCTCAATGTGGAATTCAAATGCAAAGCAAGAAAGGTCGCCCTCGACCATCAGAGTTGAGGTGAACCAGATGAGGGTGTTTATCGGCGCGAATCCTCTCGACACTACACAAACAGCTGGAGTACAGCTCATCCATCATTCTGCGGTCACCTGTCACATGGAACAAATCGGAAAGGTGAGAAAATTCTACAAATGGATACTGTGTGAAGTGAACAAAACCCAATCACCATTCTGACGTCTGCTCTATGGTCCTTTTGCACAATAAAGATGACCCGTTCCTCAAATGCTCTGTAACCTGTAAAGGAAATGGATTCTCTACAACTGATGATGTTTAGCACAGGCGCTGGATCAAGGTGAGGTGCTGAAACACTGCCCCAAACCAAGCATACCAAAAGGAGGTCATGGTGACGGGTGGCCTGCCGCTAGATTCATCTACTAGCACTTCTTCAATCTGGGCAAAACCAGTACAGCAGAGGAGTGCTGGGACAAAAGCCACTTAATCTGCAACAGCTGTCTCAGTCACTGGTCAACAGGAAATCCTTCGACACTATAGTGGTTGATCATATGTCACACAAGCAACGCTTCAAAAGCTCAAGGGAACAGGCTATGAATCTGCATCACCCAATGTACCTATCTGACCTCTACATCTTTAAGCACCACAGTAAGTCATTACAGGGGAAAACACCGCAACGGCAAAGGTGTCATTTGAGGTGCCTGCAGAGAATTCACCAACTCCAGGACGCTGAAATTTTATGCTACCAGAATAAACAAACTTTCACCTTGTTTGCAAAAATGTATAGACTTAAATAGCTCTTATTTCAATTCATGAAAGTTAAGTTTGAACACAGTGACAGAATTTCAAAGGTGAGGTTTAAAAACCTGCATTCTTTTTGCAACAGCCTAATACTAATCAACTTTCTAAACATAACATAATAGATGAGTCCTGATAAAAAGAGAAAAATGTAATACAGAACTGTAAACTTCTTAACGCTTACAGGCTTATGTAGGCCACGGGATTTCCCAAAGCTATTGCCCTGGGTTGTTCTTCCTTCAAACTGTCCAATGAAGTTACTGTTAAGCTAAGGAACAGTTTAACTAAAGAGAAAAGGCTGTAATGCTTTGGTTTCTTTATAAAGCAAACATTTTTTAAATCGTTTATATAAGATCAAAAGGTCAACAGCTATTTTACTTTAATTTTATTGAAACTTTACAGGGACTTAGGGTTTCCAGTCATTCTCTTTTCTCCCTACCCACCCTCTCCCCCCGGTCAACAGCTATTTTAGGACTTAGATGAAAGAGTTGAGGCAAGGGAGGCTGATGAAATGGAAGTGAAACCACTAGAACAGAAATAATGAGAAAGCTGGCATGATGAAGCGTCACTGACCATTATGACTAGAAAGTGCGGAGTAAGTCTAGGTTTTGTTGCTTACATTTTCACCAAAAATAAAAGTAAACACCAAACACAAAGGAGAGCCAGAAGAGTGACTTGCTGTCCTGCCTGCCGTCAAGTCAACTTCAACACGCATCAGTGCAGAGCTGTGCTCCTTAAGTTTTCAAGGCTGTGACCTTTCAGAAGTAGATCTGCAGGCTTATAGCTGGGATTTATTAAATATTTGTTTAAGTGAAGAGGAATCAAGGATAAAGGGAAAACTGAGAAGCTATTCAAGGACATTCATTCCAACAAAGTATTTTAGTAAGCAGAAATAACTAAGACATACTAATCAGCCATTTGCTTTCACATGCATACGAAGTGATTTAACAAACCATGGCTTGGACCTCAGGAGTGCTTCAGTACTGAAGACTTGCAGGCAGAGACACAACAAAGACTTAAACACTATCGCTCACAACACTACTCTTCAAAATAACTGAAATTCACAAAAAACAACCTGAACGCTCACCAAACGATGAACGGATCAACAAAATCAAGTACAAAAGCATAATGGAAAGCTGAAAAGCTCACCCTGTAGGAGAAATTAAATGCAGTGATATACTACATACAATATGGATGCAACTGTTAGGTGCTATGCTGAGTGAAATAGTAAAACACAAAAGGACAGATACTGTATGATCTGATTCATATAAAAATTAAAAAAATTAAATAGAACAAAGTTGATGAGTGGTTACCCTGAGTGGACGAGAAGTGGAGGGCTGGGGGCCAATTACCACTGATTGCTGATTAGTAGCAGTAAGTAATACACATCTGCAAAAAAACCTGAACTGGGAAAAGTTGTGTGACAGATACACCTACAGCAACAACAACAAAAACAGCAAAAAAAGAGTGGCTGCCAAGGCTGTTTATGTACATCTAAAAATCTTACATTAAAGGTTGAGAGTCTTTGGTTTAATGGGAAATCTCATTTAACACATTGCCGCACACTTTTAAATTGACGACCGTGCTTAGAAACACATTATTTTTCATGTATTACCGTTATTTGCGGCAACGTGTTAATTGGCTTCATTTAATATTTAGTACTTCTAATATTATAACATTCTCATTTACTATTTAGTGGTTCTGGTCTGTCTCTCATTCCTTGTAGTTCCTGGGGTCCTAAAAGCTTGCAAGTGACCATCCAGGGCTTAATGG